TTCTTCTGTACACAGAGCTTTGGTTGCTTCAGGCGAATCGCGATAGCCTCTACCGTTTTGGAGTATGTGATACCTGGATGTTTTTAGCAATTTATTTGGTAGCCGGTAGGTGATACACAAGGATTCATCAATGCTGACATTGTGGCAGATTCGGATCAGGTGGTCTAATAAAGAACTGTTGATGGTTTTTACTACATGTTTACTTAGCCAGTGTTCTGTGTGCAGAAGAAACAAGTCCAGCTAGCCACTACTACTACCCTGGTCGGCCTTCAGTAGAAACTATAAATTGGTGAATTTGTATTATTATCTCTCCTAATTTCCCTCATATTCAGTGCATTGTTATGTTGATTCGGTCAAACTGTATATATATATATATATATATATAGAATCTGACGACGATGAAGTTATCGAAAAGAATATTCTTTATTCACTAATCTGCCTTTAGAAATCTTTTAAAGTCAATCATAGGATAAGCTACACTCCATTTGAAAGAGCATTGTAAATGAATCGTTTGTAAAAGACTGACATCTAATTTCTATTTAGTACGCAACTCATTAGTCTGGATAAGAAATCTACATTCATTAATAACCATAGAATAGGAGAAGACAAATTTTGAATCTGAAATTTAATACGATATAAAATGGGATGGAGAGAAATCTTTTTTCTACCGAATCAAGTGAGTACACTGACTGAGTTCATACGATTTAATGATGAATCATTCAAAAGCCGAAGGATAATAAGTATAAAAGTAGCTTCATTATGCAGAATGAGTTTACACAATATGCTTCATTTTTAGCATAGTTTACGGCATAACATTTCCTCTACATTCCCCAGAATTGAGCAACAGTAGAGATTGCCAACCAATTGAAAATGGTTATGTGAGTACATTTGGCGAACCACAGACTTATCTGCATGATTATAACAATGAAAACGGAAGAAAATGAGATGCATCATCTCGAATTGAAATTCAGGTAGCCCAGTGATTCAAGCAGGCCGCCAAGTTTGATTATTATTATTATTAGGTGACTAACTAGTATTTGAGCACAGTGAGTGATACAGTCTTATTTTCCGATAACGTTTCAAGCACAATTTACTACTTAGAAACAGATAAGGATACTCACACAACCTCCAAAACTTCGTTTGTATTATTTTCACTATTATTTCTTATTCTTTGATTCATATTGGTAATAATATTTTCCATATCTCTGGTGTTGCTGTATGCTGTATCATTCCTATTACAAGTGTTAAGCGTCGGTGGCACAGGGGTTAGGACACTCTCCGTCCCTGCACACCTGATATCAATGGTAGGCCTGTTAAAGTTGGGCAACCGACATCACATGCTGAAAATGCCATACTTGTACCAAAAATACTGTGTGGAATCAAACTATAATAAAATATAAAATAAATAATAAAGATAAATAATAGATCCATCCGATGAACAAAAAGATTCACTAATCAAATCAATTAGAGAAAATAATATAATCTACATACAATTCGATACTTCAAATCATAGTGTTAGCCCTAAATTAGTAAACTTTGCCTTAAAATATGTCAGAATAACTAACTAATTGGAGTTGAAATATTTAGTTTGACCAGTGAGTTTACGCATTGCACTTTCTTTTTGTCAGTTTTCAGGTGTCAAATCACTTAGGAAATTCATTTTTTAGAATAGTACTTTAGAAGTTTTCAAAATAGAAATGTTATGAACTTTAATCAAGCGCTAGAAGCTTGATTAACAAATTATATCTATTTGGATTGAAAAAAAACTGAACTCGAACAGCCGTTGAAATTAACCTCTTTGTGACAATATATATATTTGAAACAAATTTACTGAACAGCTGTTTCGTCCTAGTTCGGGGCTCTTCACAGTATACACCCACCGTCAGGGCCTTCAGGTTACGAGGCGAGCAAGCTCACAGACCATTAGGCCACTGAAACCCTATCCAATGACCAACCCATGAATTCCAACTTCTGCCAATTCACGTTATAGCGTGACCACTAACCAATGTCATCAGTGGCGAGTATTTGTCCTCACACCCCACCCGCTGCACTCCAATGGTCACGAGTTCCCACTAGAACCTCAGGTGACTAGCTACGTGAATAGGACCAGTCACTAGTGAGTATCAGATTAATATTCAAGTCACGGAATATACACATTTGATCATAGGGAATAAAAAGACAGTTGCAGCGAAGAAAATTTTCTTTTCGACGAAGTCATCGTAAACCAGGCTGTACATTCGTGTATTTATAATAAATGGGTAGGAAAGGTCCAGAATAATTTCTGGTCAAGGGTCAGATTAATCAAATGACAATTAGGAATTAAAATGCCATAATAAACAGGGGGACGAATAAAGCTCAGACAAAGTAGCATCATAATTACTGAGGAAATTGACATATTGTGCGATTGGGGGTTAGAAATGTAGAAATAAAAACAAAAGACAGGATGTTTGGATAAAAAATCTAGTGGGATAATAACTAATGTGACGAATAATTGCTTATGCTGTCAGGGATTAAATATGTAGAAATGATAAAATGACAAAGTAGACAGGAAGTGTAGTGGTAGTGTAAATAGGGATTGAGATGAACTTAAAAATAACATGAATAAACAGGAAGTTTGGATAAGAAAGGCAATGATTTTTTTATATTTTTGATTTACAGCTTGATTCCACACCGTATTTTCAGTACAAGTATGGAATTTTCAGCATGGATATCGGTAGCCCAAATTCAGGCTGACCATAGATATCGGGTGTGGGCCGGGTTCTCATTTATAAGGATTGAATTTTAGATTTTCCCGTCGATTGATTGGACCAAAGTGCTCAGTCTCAGGTTGACATGTCGGCTTCTTGCGCAGATCCAGGTACATCCTGATGACCAGTCCCGAACAGGACGAAATGCGCATCCTGGATTCCACTGCTCATCACTATCCACCAAGGATTTGATTTATTTATCGATTTTGACCACGGATTGATATCAGTTAGTGAACCATTAAAAATCGGGGAGTACTGAACAGCTGTTTCATCCTAGTTTAGGAATCATCGGCAGTACGCACCCACACCATGGGATTCAAACCCAGGACCTTTCGGTTACAAGACAAGTTCGTATACCATTCAACCACTGGGAACCAATTCAATGGCCAGCCCATGAATTCTAACTTCTACCAATTAGTGATTTTTAGTGCGACCATTAACCAGTGTCATCGGTGGGAACTCCATCCTCGCTCCCGAGTAGATGGACCTTACTGGTCACGACTTCTCACTAGAACTCCAAGAAACTCCGCCCTGTAGCAGGTCAGTAGCGAGCATTACAGGCCTTTGAGTAGAGTCCCAGTGGCTAAATGGTATACGAGCCAGGTTGCCTTGTAACCGAAGGTCCTGGGTTCGAAACCCAGTGGGTGGGTACTGCCAATGAGTCCCGAACTAGGATCAAACAACTTTCCAGTACTCCCTGGTTTTCAATGGTTCTCGAACTAATATCAATCCGTGGTATAACTTGATAAATGCATTGATGAAGAAGAAGATGATGAAAATCAATAAATAACAGAGCAGATTCGTAGTTCAGGGGGATGATTTTGATGTGGTTACAATATCTGGGCTGGCAGTGGTCTAATTAAGCAGCTTTCATTATCCTGCTAGACAAGAACATTTCAGTGCAAACTTCAGTATAATATGAACTTATTTGAGTTATCCACGAATGATATCATTGTATCTGTCTTTCACCTCCAAGTCCATGAACATAAACTAGCTGTCAAAATACATGACATATCGATGCATGTAAGCAATTATGGACACCAATTTAACGAGTAAAATTTAGAAATTTTTGTCCAATGGAAACACCAAAAGTAACTCCAGGTAATTCCTAGAAGCCTCATATCAGATGAACTAGCGACTAACAGACACATTGTTATAGATAAAAATTTATCAAGTGAAGTAATATTTCAAGTCAGTAAAAACGATGAATGCTAATAGGAATTAACAACCAGTCACAACAGAGGTTGTCAGAAGATACAGCGATATCATTCACAAGAAGAATTCAAACAAGTCCACATCATATTGAATGTACTCCGAAGCGATTATGTCTAGAAGAAAGACAGTGAAAGCTGCTTTGCAGTTGAACTACCTGGCTTAGACAGCTCAACCACATCAAGATCAATAAATGAGGAATCACTAAAAACAAAGTTCTTCACATAACAACATACGTTGAAGTAAATGAGACCAACTCGTGTACAATTCATATTTTGTTACTGTAGGCTGTTTCAGAGTGGTGAAACTTGAAGCGGCGCACTTCTACATTGCTCTCTCATTAAGCTGATAAAGAATCTTGTTTTATTAAACTTGTCAATTTCTCAACCTGATGTCTGATCTCTGATTAAAAGTTTATGTTTAAATAGCTAAAAGTATCACAGAAAATAGAATCTCTTGCTACTTTAGAATTCGTCATCTGTCGGACTGTATCCTATTGGTTCGTCAGTTAATGGATTTGCCTGGTAACCTGAAAACTTTTGGTTATATTCCAGGTCGAATTAGGTACCCACCGCTAAAGAGTCTCAAAATGATACGAAACCGCTGTCCAGCTCTTCCTGGTTTTCAGTATTTCTCTAACTGAAGACACTTCATGATTTAAAATTGTGACCAATCAAATCCTCCAGGACAAATCACTTAAAAATATTCTAATCAATATTCTAATAACTTAGTTCAATAGTACTTATGAAAAAATCACGTGTACTACAGAAAATGGTGTATCGGTGGTACAGCGGTAGAATCCTCGGCAACCATGCATGTGGTCCGGGGTTCGATCCTCGGTCGAATCACTCCTTTACCTCACTGAGCCAGTAATAAAACTGATAAAGAGGGAAAGTTGGGTATGAGGCTAGCAACCCCATCCCGTAAAATTAAATATCACTGCTACCGGAACTTCAAGCCTCCAACTTGAAGCCCTATGTTCCTCTGGGAACGTAAAGGGATAAAACAACAAAAACTACGGAAAATTGTAATTTCTATGAATTAGACGACAGTATACTTCTGCTTACTCTTAACTTCAATATAGATAGCAGTATCATTTGTATTACTTTCATCCGGTGCAATAACTTTCGAGTTGTTCACACTTGTAGGCGTTACACTCGAAGGTGGGATATTACTTTGAAGTGAATTTTCATTTGGTTCGTGTTTCTCTTCAATGGATTTCTTATCATCAATATCAATTTTAGAATACTCCTGGTAGGAATGTTGATCACTAACGGATTGAGTATTTTCAGATATTTTTATTTCATCTAAAAAGACGAAAAAGGAGAAGGAGAAGAATTTTACGAGATAAGTTTTTTTTCTGTTTTTAGCATAGTCTGAGAAAGACAAATGGTTTAAATACGAAATCTTCATGAATACATTGCAGCAATGATCAACAGAAGGCTGAGTACATCACTAGTCAGAGCCTATCCTGCAGCTAAGCTCGTCCCCATCCATCGAACAACTTGCTCATCTTTGGTGTAATCAAAAATCGATAGATATCCTTCTTATGTTAACTCCAACTGTATATACAAATTTACATGTATCTGGGGGGCAGTTACATTGGAGGGACAGAAAGAAGAAGGACATATCTACGATTTTCTGAACATGTATCAAAAAGCTTATGTCTAAAGGGAACAAATGCTTTAAACAGTGCCATCGCCAGGCATCTCCTCGACACGGGTCAGTCATGAGGTGGACGTCGAAAAGTCGTTCAAAATTATCAATAGGCAAAAGAGTTCAATTCTCCTCAAGTTTGCTGAAGCCATTTCCGTCAAGCGCCTGGAACCTGATTTATGCGTCCAGAAAAAAGCGGTTATCAATCTTTTGGATATTTTCATCTCTCTTTCATCTGAGTGCGTAATGCTGAAAATTTTCCATTGTGTATGATTATTATTGTTCGGAATAGTGTTTAATATTACATATATAAATATATACTTTATTACTGTATGCATATATTTATAGATTGATTTTTGTTTAAAATGAACTCTGTGCAAGTATGTTAAAATTGTTTTTGTAGATATATTGAATAATGTTTTTGGCCTGTAAGCAGCTGACTAGAAGGCAACGAAATAAAAGATGGTACCACTTTATTCTGCAAAAACTGTAGTTCTTGCTTTGCTCAAATTTTTTCCTTTTTCTTTTTGTTTATTTGATCTGTAATTTTTAGTCTATTATTACGATTGTTATCACTTTTGTGTTTTCCAGTTTGAACAGTTTCCGCTATTACTTACTTCTTCCATATTAGTTTGTTTATTAGATGTATCAGACAGTGAATGACGAAGTTTCGAACAAAATTTATTGTGGTTCATAATCATATCAATTAATTATTTATTTCTCTTGTCCTATTTATTATTTTCGATGAATATATTTTCCTCAATGTTAAGATATATCTTATCGAACTTCTTTCCATGTTACGTAACGCTCTCGTGCATTCTGTAAGCTTTTTTATACATTTAATTCAATATTAGATTTTCCCGTTGATTCACTGGACTGAAGTGCTCCGTCTCAGGTTTACATGTCGGCTCCTTGTGCAGATGCTTCGACGATGTCTGGTCATGTAACTTGAAGTCAGTTGGTTGATGGTGACTAGCATTGGAATCCAGGATGCGCATTTCTTCCTATTTGGCACTCGTCGGCTGTATGTATCTGCATTCCCCAGTGAGTGATTGAATCAATTAATAAGACCCTTTGCACAAGAGGTGGATGTCGTGGCCCAAGTGGTCTAGTGGATTACGCTTTGGCGTTTGAGATTATGGGCACTAGGTTTGAGCCTCGGTGGGAACACCATGACTTACTGGGGTATGCAGGTACACCCTGATTTGTTTTTTCCTTCACGTTCCCCAGTGGAACATAGGGCTTCAGGTTAGTGGCTTGAAGTTTCTGTAGCAGTGTTTATTTTACGGGATGGGGTTGCTAGCCTCATGACCAACCTTTCCTCTTCACCAGCATTATTTCTGGCTTAGCGAGGTAAAGGAGTGCGCCGGCCGGGGATCGAACCCCGGACCATGTTCATGGTCGGCGAGCGTCCTAACCGCTATGCTACCGACACCCTGATTACTAGTCCCAAACAGGACGAAATGCACATCCTTGATTCCACTGCTAGTCACCATCAACCAGTTGACTTTTTTATACGTCACATAATTTATTTTATCGCTTGATACTGAACTTTGATTATAATCACAAACGTTTTTTACAATTGCTAATCACATTCGTGTTGATTTTGTCATTTCATAGGGGAGGGAGGCGGTGTTGTAACACGAATGTGATAAGCAATGTTACTTTGTAAACACATACTACTCTTATAATCTTAAACACTTATCAAATCCAACAATTTACACTTGGTTTGTTATCTTTACCAACTGGCCAACTTGACAACGTAAAAATGACCCCATTCAGAGAAACGATTATTAAGTTGTTGTATATGAGCTGAGATTTTATAAATTCTGGTTTAATAATACTTTGATGATATAGCTATTAGTGGTATAAAATAGCTAAACGTCAGTAAAAACAATATCTTTTTGTTTTTCATTCATTGAGAAATACAAGAAAACCTTTATTATAGTGAATATCATGTACCCTAATGCCCAAATTTTTTCAAACTGTTAAAAGTGAACTTGGTTTGGACATATATAACAAACATGTTTTGTTGCATTTCACACTACTATTTTGAAGTATTCACAAATATCAATAGTTTCAGCCTAGTTAGCTCTAAACCAACACTGGTGAAGACGTTGTTCTCTAGAGTAAAACGAATATATTCAGATGATAAATTGGGTAGTGAACTTATGTTATTTGATAAATGCCAGAAAGAAAATGGCTACCCACAAATTTCCATCAACAAACATGACAAGAAAGAATATAAAAATCCAAATATCACTATAATCAGCAAGAAACGGATTTTCCTTCGACTTGAATTCAAAAGGTGATGACAATATGAGAATGATAAATAAACATTTAAGTGTGGCACTGACCAGGACATATTCAGTCAGCGAAACTAGTCTGTCCACTGGGAATATCCTGCTCGTTGGTGAAGTCAAAAGTCGACAAACACCCTTGCAACTGTGTTTGTCAGTCCACGTGTAACCGCAGAAGCAGCTAAAATGCAAGGACAGGAAGAAGGGCCGACGTCAGATTGTTTGAACATGTACCAAAAAGTCTTCCGTTAAAGGGACTGAATATTTCGAATTCGCCTGTTGCAAAACTCCTGATTGACAAATGACACCAAGTGGACACGTTGGAAGCATTCAAAATAATTAACAGGGAAAACATCCCTAGTTTTCTTCGGTTTGATGAAACTATCGCAATAAAACAACTGAAACCTGACTTGTGTGTTGAAAAGCAGTCCATTGGGGGATTTCAGTTACCCTGATAACTCTCTCCTTAGTGACTTTTTGTCTTTCAATTCCATTATTCGGTTTCAACCCCTCTCCTTTATTATCACTGACTCACCACCACCCTAACAACAGGATGGTTCACCTTTTCACGAGAGACTTCACTCTTATGATATATATATTGATTTAGTTGTATTCTGTCGCCTGCATCACTCTGAAATCAGTTTGGAAATCTTCTGCATTCAGCATAAACTTCAAAATTAGAATTTTTAGAATCAATATTAAGTCAGTCGGTTCTTCTATATGACATTCGCGTCACAAAAAGCGTCGGTGGCGTCGGTGGCACAGTGGCTAGGACTCTCACCGACCATGCACATGGTCCGGGGTTCGATCTCCTGCCGATGCACACCTGATATCTATGATCGGCCTGCAAAATTAGGGCTACCGATATCACATGCTGAAAATTCCCTACCTGTACCAAAAGATACGGTGTGGAATCAAGCTGTAATTAAACAAATTTTAAAAAAATTTCCAACAGACTGTAGTGAACTTTCATCAACAGCTGCCTTCGTCCTATATAGAAGATCAAATGACCTGAAAAAACTAACAACAAGAAACTCTGGAACAACCGACGAAGAACCTGTTGCTCAACAAATATCCCGAAGAAAATGGAGATACATTGAGCATACGCTGAGACCGTCGAAGGACAACACGCGCCAGGCCATCACTCGAGTGGAACCCGAATGTGAAACGACGAGTTCGAGGGTGACATGGTTCAGACCATTTGAGGAGGAGATGAGAGACTATTGGCAGTCATCTGATCCAGCTTAAGGGGACCGCAGAAAATAGAAAAAAGTGGAGATATGCTGTTGAAGCCCTACTTTCCACTTGGAACCCAAGGGAACAATAATAATAGATCTGATCTGGTTGATTTAACTGCAAAGCTTTCGTTGTCCTTCTAGATAATATCTTCAGAGGAAGTTTTAGTATGAAGACCTTTAGTAAGATAACCTTATCATCTTTATGTTTGATTTTACTATGACTTTCTTACAACAATCCCTACTGCAGGTCTGATCCACGATGATAAACAAAATGTATGTTAAAACTGTACTATAAATGGTTTCGCTAAATACTGTAGGTTCTACACAACTGATGAGGACTGCCAGAATAAAATGGATCCTTATTATTTTACACCAATGTGTTTATTCTATCTCCGCTCAAATTGACAAATTTGTTTAAATTTTCTAACAGGATAAACTTCAGAGTGTAACCTTGAAACTGACCAGCAAAGTATTCGCCATATGGTGTTAGATATAACAGCTTGTTAATAAATTTTTTGGGAAGAGTCACTTCGCTGAATATTCCACTCCTCATTTTTCAGTAGAAATTATTATATTATGTATTTTAGATACAATACAATAATCGTTTGTTTGCATAGAGATAAATCCAGATTTCGTCCTCCTGGAGTCTTCTTGTGTTTCTCGTTTGTTTAATTGGATGGAGGATTGCATCATGAGCTGACATCTGTTAGAGAGCCACTGGAAAACCTGAGAGTACTGGACAGCTGTTTCGTCCTAGTTTGGGGCTCTTCAGCATCATGAAATCCTCCATCCAATCAAACAAATTCCCTACAAAACCAATACTTGAAAATTTCTCATTTGTGTCAACTTTAATTTAATGGCACTGGGATCCGAATAAGAGACCATATCCTTCTTCCAGTAATATAATAATTGACTAGCAATCGATTTAGCATGTTCTACGGTATTCCACAACAGAACTTCATTTTAACCGAGAATTTGTGATTATCTTGGAGCAAAATATTCTCTAAGTAATTAATTATTCCATCCTTTGTGGTTTTCTTTCATTGTAACCTTATTTTTATTTTTTTTTTATTATTTTTGATTGCAGCTTGATTCCACACCGTATTTTCAGTA